TGTGTCAAGATAGATATGAATTGAATTGCATTATTATTATTTATAAAAATTCTTTTGTTCTTTCAAAGGTAAAAAAAATGAAATCACAGTTCATTTAAAATTATTAAAAAAAAAAAAATGAAAAGTACAGTTCATGGTTCAGTGGCGGTAGTAACAGCTGTAGTTTTTTAACCAAGTATTTAAGGAAAATCAAGAACGCATATTTTCCTTCTAACCATTCAGGAAGTAGAAAAACTTAGTAGCAACAAAATAAAATAAAATTGTTCTACAAGTAATAATTACACGACGAAAAATATCAGTATATTATATTTTATTGTTTAAATTGTGTTGCTGTTGCATCCAAATAATAATTTTTTTGTAAATCGATTTAAATTTAGTTTTTAATCTTATTTAAAATAATTCATATTGTTTATTGGTTTTATAGACTGAATAATAATAACACAAGGGCAAGTGTATAATATTTAGCAATAATACCTCCAAATAATATTTTTTGTAAGAAACCCAGAAACTAAGGTTTGCAATTTTCAAATTGACAAGCGGAGTAGAATTGAACTGATGACACAATGGAGACCGAGACCCCGTGGACAATTTCCCATCTGAAAACCCATTCTTTAATCATCTAAAGAATAAAAACTTTTTGTAGGAAACCTTTTTCTCTATAAAGCAATTGAGATACCAACTATCGATATCGAATAGAATACCTACCATCATTGTTAATCTTACTCCGTAACGGGCAAAAATAATTTCAGCAGGCATATTAAAGTAATACATTTTTAGGTATCTTATTACTGTGGCGATCATAATATATATTTTTGAACAAGTCACAAAATTACTGAATGGGGAATTTAATAAAAGGTGTACAGTGGTTATGCTTTAATTTAAAGGAAGACATTAATTTGCACTATTACCTATTTGTAGGACGATTTACAACTTAGCCAGTTTTCTTACCTGTAATGGGTATATGGAAACTCCGCCGATGTTAAGGCCTTACTCATGTAAAACTTTTTAGTATATCTCAATCAAATAAACAAAAAATTTAAAAAAAATTGATAGTGTTTGGGAACGCTATTATAGTTATAGGTAATAATGGATTTATATTAGACTTAGGATATCTACCGTTTGTATCACATCATTTTAGTTTATATTTCAAAACATAACATAACTTTACATAGATAACATAAAAATAATCATAAAATATATTTAGGTAACATATTTTATAATTATTACAATTATTTATTATGATTTTTATTTTTAAGTTTTATTTATCTTACATATTACTCATACCTAACTACTATTTAATGAGAACGATTATTATTATAAAAATCATGATTTTTTTTTCATAATAATATTATATTATACTCATTTTATATACCGTTACTTGATTTTAAACTAGCGGAGTGTACATAAATTCAATTCTACCTGTTTTTTTCCTTTTTTGTAGTTTACGCCAAAAGAAAGTACTAGTGGCGGAGCTTACATGCATTCATTGTGTAATATTATATTTAATTACACATTTTCAACAGTTAGTCCTGGCTATTATTTTTATTCGAGAAATTAAATGTTTAATATTCTTACTTAATTTTTAAAAATATATTCAAACATATTATTTTAATAATAATAATATATCACTGATAAGAAACAATAATAACAATTAACAACAACAGTTTAGTTTAGTACATTATAATAAGATATACCATTAATGTTTAATGTACATTTTTCATAATATAATAATGGAACAAGTTTTGTAAATGTTTGTAACTCCTTCATAATACATCGGTAGACTTATAAATATAATATAAAAACATATTGCATTTAAGGTAACACTTTCTGTTAAATATAATTTACTTACTTTTTGCAGATACTTATCTACTATATTATACCTTCTATGACTCTACAAAACAGTTACTATCTACTTGTTAGTTGCAGTAATTTTGCTTGTTTATATGACACTTTTAATACTAAAATCTTTTTAATAATTCGAAAATATTTAACTGATGACAAGAGGTAAAATAATATTTTATTTTGAATATGTGAACAAAGAAATTTGTAATAAGGTCAAATTTACATAATATTATTATATACCTATCTACTACGACTTTTTTTATCTTAATATCATTACCAATGAATAACTAGTACAGTATACCTAAATATGAATGAAATATCGAATTGTATCATTTTACATGTCTTAGCAATGAAAAAAAAAATTATTAGTATATATTTACTATTTGTATGGCACAAAAATTAATGTTGCGTAAATGGATTGCTTGTGAATGTAATGTATTAGAGCATTATAATATATCTTTCTAAAGGTAGGTATAAAACCCTACTCAAAGTCATACTTTTTCAGTACCTATTTATCTATTATAAAGATACTATATATTCAAACATAAATTATGTTAATTTTTATATTTAAATATGCGTGTGTGTGTATTACCTGAACCATAGTTTGTTCAGCGTTTTATTGATATTATGCGTCTTAGTGATATGAGTAGGGCTTTAAATTTAATGCACTAAAAAACTATAAAATATGGATGCGCTTATCCATCAATACACCAGGAAGTATGAATAAAACGACTTCAAAATAAACACTAAAATCATAGCCATAGACATGACGTATTAGTTGGTTAAGTAGTAGGTATCTAGTTAAAGAATTACAACTATCTATAACATGTGTTAAGTACCCGATTACTTTATTCATATTGTTATTATATTTTCAAGCTCAAATTGAGCTCACCATTTGGTGTGATCGTTTACGTTTTATTTTAACCTTTTATCTCAACTATTAACTCTCCGTTGTCCGTATATTATACTACCACGTAAATATGCCGTATCCAATTTATGTTACTTTTTATAATTTATAGATAATTAAAAAACGTATTGATTATATTATTAAATTTACGATAAGCAATTTATATGTCTGCCATTATCATTAAACTTTAAAATAATAATCGGACAGTTATGTTGGGTTATATTTCATTTGCAATGGTAATTAATAAAGTACAGAAGTTTAGTTCTATAAAAAATAATTAATATTAAAAATGTCTGTGGTCCGTGGTTTTGCGACATTTTTTATGTCGAAAAGTTTCTTTTTTTTTTTTATAATTATCGAACTTACTTTCTTTGTGTTTTTACTACCTTCTTGTCTTTGTTATCACCTCGGCAGCCACAATTTAATGGCTACATTTTTGTTGAAAATAAAATAATAATATTTAGTAAAACAACAAAAACGTCAATGTGTCTGCATCGACACTCTATAATCTATATACGTTGCTTATTATCGTGCAATTGAAATATCGATTCACTTGTGTACAAAGAGTGAACTGAAAAAGAGGAGAAAAAAATTCTAAATATTGACAGTAGTATGGAGGTGGCGATGGCGTGCAGACAAAACAGTCCTCGTGGTGTACATTTGGTACTCTTTGACGTCGTTGTCGTCACCGTCGCACGTCGCCGAAACAGGATTTACTGGTAAATTAACGATAAAGTCATTAAAACGTTCTCTGTTGTTTGCTGAATAAATCAACCATGAAAAAAAAAGAAAATTAAAATAATAATAATGGTAATAAGACGGCCTCGGCGGCGTAAAAGTCGGACGTTTACACGAAGTGAAATAATTTACAGATGTTTCCGCCTTTTTATTTGCATAAATATATATATATATATATATATATAAATATAAATAAATATATAAATATAAATATATATATGTATATATATATGTGTATAATATAATAATATTCGTTTTTCTTGATAACAGAGAGAAGTAATAATTTAATGTTTTATTTTTTTTCACTCCGACGATAGTAAACGTCGCAATCCGTCGTTTTATCACACAAAGCGACACACAGTATTATATATTATTTATACGTAGATTTATATATAATTTATTATAATATATTATAGTTTAAATTATATAATTCCATGAATCATTGTTCCATTAACACGCGACTCGTTCCCACTGTATAATATATGTATTATGTATTCAATTTTCATAAACTAAATGGTTTTGGGGGCGATGAGCTCACTTCCAAAAAGATTTTGTCGGTGACCTCCGACTGTCGAAAGTTAAAAACGGGATCTACGCGTACTATACAGAGAACATTGCAGTGACAATTCTGCAAGCTTTGAGTTGAGAATTATTTAAATATTTTACTGTACATTACACTCACTCGGATTTATTTAAATATCATTTAAATCATTTAAATCATTTTAAGGATTTTTCTTTTTATTATTATTATTAGAGTAAATGCCTTATATTATATAATATTATGTTAATTCAAATGGGGAAAAAGAGGATTTCACAAGGGATTTTTTTGGTTATTGAAACATTATTCCCCCTAAGAATAACATATTTTGTGACTTACAAACGTATCTCATTCTCATGGTATATATATATGCACAAATATAAAATAACAAAAGATTGAACATTGAAATGATTGAACAAATAAATTATGGTTATGAATTAATTATTTCTTTGTTAGACAAATGTGGTATCGTTAAATTATACGAACTCGTGTTTATAATAATATGAACAATGGTAATATTATTACATTTATAATAAATTATTATACATTTTTTGTATCTTGAAAACTTGCTACTAAAAAGATATTTTTAAAGTTAGTCTATCGTTGTTATTGTAATCAACAAATGTTCCAGCATTATATTGCAATAAAAATAAAAATAAGTTTATTTCGAAAATTATTATCGGGTTAATGGTCGGGGAAAGAACTGTGGTTGTATTGGTATCGGATAAAATGTGCGCGTACGGGAGCGGAAAAAAAAACAAATTGAAAATAAGGTTCCTCATCATTTACACTAACAAAGATTGACTCGAACGGTATAACGGTATGTACCTAGTGACGATGAAATATTTACACGTGTTTAACGAAAATGATTCGTCGGGTCTACCGTCAATTTGAACCGTAGTCTGTTTATCTGTTTCGATACGGAAATAACATTTTGCAGTGTACTTAGAAATCAATTTTGTTCTCTTTGTTTAGGATCTCCATTCTGGTGTTTGCTGGACATTGTTCCGATCAAAAATGAAAAACGAGATGTGGTGTTGTTCCTGGCTTCGCATAAAGACATCACGCACACGAAAATGGCAGAAATGCACGTGGGCATGGACTACGATCCAGGTAATACTAGTCGTCGTACAATATTTAGATACATAAAACGTCCCTTGGGATTTAGGCTATAGTACTCTAGCTATTATTGATGTAAATGTATATTATGGAGGGATATTCATTGGAGTTTCCGGTCGAGTTAATGGCTTAAAACAGCTATACAAATATTTATTTCCCCCTGTGCATTTGGTCGAGAAGTTTATTTTCTTGGAAGTCCAAAGATACGGAGGTATAGGTTTATTGAAAACCAACAACATTTAAATGTTTTGAGCAATACATCTATTAAAATGTTAACTTACTCACATTTATTCGTGATTTTTTTGTTGACATGTATTTGACATGAGTAATCATTAGTATTTATTTGTATTTAAATTTCGTAATCAATAGTTTCTATTCATATACACAAATGTAAATGTGGTTTATTAAAAACCGATGAATGAAAAACAATTTCGAAGTAAATTACTATTAATTACTTTCTGTATACCGTTTAATATTCGTACAATATGCATTATAACGTATAACTTCGTGTGTTGTTTAAAATAATATGATCTATTATATGTACAGTTTCGTTCTGTGTTCAATAAAATTACTAAGAGGTTTTTTTGAAAATGTTTATTTATTTTATTTAACTATAACCACGACAAGCATAAATTATTCAGATAAAGTTAGATTAAAAATAAGTATAATAAAGTGAATATGGAAAATACTAATTACAAATTGAAAATTAAACAGTAGGTAACGACAGATAACGTCACGAATAGTATCGAGGTCAGATGGAAGTCAGAAAGTTTTTTACGACGTATATTCTTTAAAATAATTTAATGCAATTTAATAACAAGTAAACAAAAAAGATGATGGGCTAAGATGGCAAGGGCATGGGTTACATAAGATGGTATGATAATAATATATTGGAGAGGATATCGTTGATAGAGACATATTGTATTCTTGTGGTAAGGTATGACGCAAGTTAGGAGAGAATAGGATCACCATTTCCAATATTACTTAAAGTATTAATAAGAAGACATAGTGATCAACCGTATTGAATGCTTTTTTGAAGTCAGTAAGTATATACTTTAAACTCGGAAATCAACTTTGAGATTATCAATCTACTAGTGATAATAGATTTTTGGGCTAAAAGCTAAACTGACTATTATCAATAATTATGAGTAGGTCGAGACTGCTCTCGATACACAAGCCAAGGGGTTTAAAAAGTTTGGCTAGATATTAGAGAATGTAGATGGACCTAAATTTCGAAAACATCAGTCGGGTCAACAGATTTAAGGGAAGGAGTGATCGAGCAGGTTTTCCACATGGCGGGCAGATTCTTTCTTTTTGAGAACGTCAAAAGAGAAGAAAGTGAGGATAAGACAACGACGTATTTTAGTAGTAATGTAAGTGTTCAGAAATGTTACCTGCTTCGATAGAGTGCTTGTTTTATTAATGAATCTAGAGAACAGAGGAAATGAAAAGATTAGTGTTTGTCATGTTTTGTATTAGAAAAGAGATGGCACTAAAGGAGGGCTGAAAACTGGGGAAAATAATTTAGATAATAGATGGCTTGGAGGGCAATCCGCTTCCTCATCAGAAATGTTAACAGTGTTGCTATTTATACATTCAACACACATATATTAATGATTGACCTCCATTAATCAAGTAATCATAATAAATTTATTCGTTTGAAGTTTATAATTCCGTATATATTATAATCACATTCGGGTATTACATTCAGTTTGTGTCAGTACGATGTTTAGATTATATCGCTTTTCATTACTGTGCCAATTATTTTAACGACACGATGTGATTGTAATATTTGAATTCTAGTGCAATCTACTAGTAACTAGTACATTAAAATAAAATGTTATATGCTGACAATATATTATTATTATTGTTTTAGAGATATACATTTTTTAGTTTTCTCTATTTTTTGTTTGGAAAACATGCCTGTATTTAATATATTTTAATATATTTGACCATTCAGTTTTAATAAATTGCGAAATCGATCGATTAAATTGTATCTAATGAATTAGTCGTGTAAATCTCTAAATAGATATAAAAATGGATTCTAAGCCATTATTATTCAATGCTTTTATAAACGATTGTTAATTCAATCAAAACGTATACTTATAAATCGTATAATATAATAATATATATATAACCCCTCAATTAATAAAACTGCATTATCTCGGAAAGTGAATTTTAAATCAGTTGTTATATTTTGAAAATAATGGTATATTTTGGTAAATTTTTTATAATGTACGTACCTACCAGTTTGTTAGATTCTCGTTTAAGCCCGATTGGATGTATATTATTATTCTGCCGGTAATAGTTGTAGTTGAATTTGTTGAGAGCTGTCTCGTAAGTTTGATAAATTCGTTTTTATTGGGTGCTGACGGACAGCTCCAGAATATATACTAGTTAATAAATCAGGTGGAAGGTTCATAGATTTACTCGATAAATGTGTAAAATGAATGTTAAATAAATTCTAAACCTTATCCTTTTTTTTTGAAAATTTTTCAGTTATAGCTATTGATGAAAAAGAAAGAGTGGCGGTTTATTTAAAGATTGAAGATACTTTTTGTTTTTGAAAGTAATATTATTCGTATATTTGGAGGAGAGTGGTAAAAAAAAATCAAAATTAATGCAATGGATCTGGTTTGTGGAATATATTTAAAAAACAAATTTTTTTGTATGACAAAAATTGACATGACACTAAGTTGTACTAATTGTATGTTAATTTAAAGTGTAATACGGCTTATGATGATTAGTAACTATCATAATTCAAAGAACCTTGTAAATATTTAAATTTAAAGTAAATAATTTGAATGGGATTTGTTTTGTTTTAAATAGCCAAAGTTCTACAGCTATATTGTAACATACAATTACTTTACGTCTTAAGCTTTGAACCTGTTAAATGATTTATTTTGATTTTTGTTGCTGAATCGTTGATATTATTAATTGCTTATCTTAATTCCCAAACTATAATAATCTTAACGAAATGACATTTGTTCAAATAAAAATAAAAATACATAACATAATAGTAATAATAATAATATAAACTCGTGTTTGTTTCGTGCCACTGAGTCGGGTGTCAGTTTTGTAGTGATATTAAATTCAAAAAACAATGATAAATTGTCTCAACAGAAAAGTGATTTTGAGCCTATGCTGTGTTAAAACCAAGCGTTTGCTAGAATTTCTTCATTTATTCAACACTTTTTTTCTAGGTTTTCCTTGAGCTTAAAAGATCGAAAAATTATCACGAGTTATATTACTTTTATCTGCGTAGGACTACTTAAAACTATTGGATCTCTCTTCTACACACACAATTGAACACAGTATCCATAACTTATACCATCGCACAAATACTGAAAGGGCGTGAAAGGTGGTTATTTCAACTTTTTCAAAACTTTTGTTACCGCGAGATGGATATTTAGACCATATCATATTTCAGTAATTAGTAAAATGTACAGTTCCATTTATCAAAATAGTTGTAATTCAAGCTGTATTTCAAATTTTATGAATTTCAGTGTTGGGAATTTGTGATATAAAGTTTCATTGTAAAAAGTTGTTAGTCTGGAATTACATTAAACATTATATACTAACCCATAGGAAGTGGAAACTCGTATTAGTATATGAACTAGTTTAAATTATTTATGTTTCATTTCAAATAGTTAAATTTTGAATACATTTTTTAAAATTATTTTTTATATAAAAAATAGTTTATTAGGCGGGTACCTGGTTATATTATATTATCTTATATTTTAAAATTAATTGAAAATGTCTAATAGTTTTCAAATATGAATTCTATTAATGCAATTTGTAAACTTTTATGCCAAACTGATAGGGCTTAAGAATAAGTAAATTCACTTTGTTTTTTATGATTAACTATGCTGTCAGTAGTTTTTAATTATATTTTTTTTCAATAGAAAATAAATATTTAAACCCATACTTTCATTGTTCCTAAGAGCTTTACAATATAGATTATAATCTTTAAGTTGTTGAAGGATGATGGTGGATTGTTATAGTAATTTTGTTGGCATAATTTATTTTACAGATTTTAAAATTCACAATCAGAAAATATACCATGTATGCCACGTTTTTAGAATTTCTTATGAACAATACAATATACAATTTGACTTAAGGTATCTGTGTATATTTGAATAGCTACCTCTTCTATTTAGATTTCAATGGCAAAATATGTTGAACAAATTCATAAGACACAAATTTGAGCTTCACTAATCGCTGGGAATTTATGAATCTTTTAAATTCGATGTAAGTGTTCTTCTCATAGAAATAAATTAATCTAAAAATGCTTATTAACGTATGGTTTTACTTAATAATAATATGACTTTGTTGAAAAATATAACTCACAAATAACTCTATATACAAAATATAATTAATTAATTGACCAATTCATGTAAAGTCAATACAGCTGGGTCTAGAAACTTGAAATTTTGCACTACCTATTTTAAGATATTTTGCAATTGTTGGTTCCTCATAATATAATTTGGGCAAGTACAAAGAAAGGATTTTGGGAAATTAATCTTTAAGGTAGAAATTGGGTATCAAAATTAGTATGTGATTATCAAGCTGGGTTGGTTTTCGAAAGTACTTATCCAATCTTCGAGAGTTTTTTTTTCAAATTTATAGAACACAATACGAGGAATACGTTTTTAGCACAGTAAGCATAGACATAAATCTAGTCCCAGGGACGTTCAGCAATAAAATAGAAAACTGTGGGAAATACAGACGCGATTTAATCTGGCTAGATTTTATACGGCAAATGTTTAAAAAAACGTTATAAGGCACCGAGGGCTCGCCAGTGTTTAAAACGTGCAACGTTGATTACATTCGTTGTTAATTTTCTCGACCGGAGGTAAACCTAAACCGATTTTCTTGCTCAGTTATTACACCTAAGCCTAAAAACAACAAGCGCTGTATCTAATCTACCGCAGGCGGATTGTCCACCCCGGTCAGAGTCGTGCAGAACGAGGACTTAACTGCTACCGAAATGC